TAATGATAGCAATTATAATGGTTAAAATAATGTCAATATTTATTATTATTGATATCATTATCATCATTAGTATCATGCCAATATCATTATGATCATTACTATTACTATAAACATTGTAATGATCATTTTTTTATCCCATTGCTAATTATACTGATAAAAGAGTATTTGGTAATAATTATCACAATGCTAATTCGTCTGTTTTTATTGCAAGTATTATTACTATTATCATTTTTCTCATTATCATCTTTACCGTTATCTTTGTCAACATAATTATCGCTTTTATTGCTTTACAAATAGCATTATTGTTTTTTTTTCTGAATTATCGCTTTTTATTGCATTACAAATAGCATTATTGTTTTTTTTATGAATGACGTTTTTCTTTATTCTTTCTCTCATTTCTTTCGTTCGTTTTTTCTGCATTTTTTCTATATTATGGTTTTTATTCCGTGTTTTCTGGGCGGTTATTTGAGACCGGCTGAGCGATCTCGGTTTTTATGATATGACATTTTGAGGGAATTTGACGTTGGGATTTTTTTGAATTTTGGTTTTTTAATTTGTCGTTTGTATTTTGTGGAATTTGGTTTTTGAATTTGTCGTTTGTATTTTGTGGAATTTGGTTTTTGAATTTGTCGTTTGTATTTTGTGGAATTTGGTTTTTGAATTTGACGTTTGTATTTTGTGGAATGTGGTTTTTGAATTTGACGTGTTGACGAATTTGACGTTTGTATTTTGTGGAATTTGGTTTTTGAATTTGTCGTTTGGATTTTGTGGAATTTGGTTTTTGAATTTGACGTTTGTATTTTGTGGAATGTGGTTTTTGAATTTGACGTTTGTATTTTGTGGAATGTGGTTTTTGAATTTGACGTGTTGACGAATTTGACGTTTGGATTTGACATTCGGATTTTTAAAATTTCTGTGTTTGAGTTTGTCGTTTGTATTTTTGAATTCAGTTTTTGAATTTGACGTGTTGACGAATCTGACGTTCGTATTTGACATTCGGATTTTTAAATTTTCGGTTTTTTTAATTTGTCGTTTGTATTTTTGAATTCAGTTTTTTGAATTTGACGTTTGGACGAATTTGACGTTTGAATTTGACATTTTGATTTGGCGTTATTCTATTGAGGTGCGACTTTCAATATTTTCCGTTTTTTTTTATTGCTCTTCCCTCTTTTATTGGCGTTTTTTAAGTCCAATTTTCACTCGCATTTGCCCAGATGTATTTACCCCACGTCATCTTCCACAGGAGAAGACCGATAAGGTGGACTACCTCGCCCCTTACACTCCACACCACGACGGAGGCGCTGTAGGTGGAGCTCCGGACGACCTGGGGAGCGGAGGAGGAGGCGATGGAAGAGACAGAGAAGGAGGAGGAGGAGGAGGAGGACCAGGAGGAGGAGAAGGAGGAGGCGAGGAAGAAAACTCCCTCCAGAGGCTGATCGCTCCTTTAGTCAGTGTGTTCCAGCTGGTGATCAGGTCCTCCTACATCGCCACGAATATTGTCATGATGGTGAGCACAGATGGAGGTTCAACAGATGGAGGTTCAACAGCTGGAGGTTCAACAGCTAGAGGGTTAACAGCTAGAGGGTTAACAGCTGGAGGTTTTACAGCTGGAGGTTAACAGCTGGAGGTTCAACAGCTGGAGGTTTTACAGCAGGAGGTTCAACGGCTGGAGGGTTAGCAGGTAGAGGTTTAACACCTGGAGGTTTTACAGCAGGAGGTTCAACAGCTGGAGGGTTAACAGCAGGAGGTTCAACAACTGGAGGGTTAACAGCTAGAGGTTCAACACCTGGAGGTTGTGCAGCTGGAGGTTCAACAGCTGGAGGTTTTGCAGCTGGAGGGTTAACAGCTGGAGGTTCAAGGTCGTAGATAAGAGGAGGCTGACAGGCTCAGATGAAGCGTGTTTTAAGGGTTCAGTTCAGTTAGATTTGCGAAGTCATGCTTCGCCCGGGCCTTTTCTCTGGGGCCGGTGTTTTAAGGGCACTAGGCTATGATTAAGATATCCTCGAGAGTGAATAGTTGAAAATGCTGTTTTGTTGTTGTTTAACTTGGCGTAAGATTATGTAATTCGAGATAGGAGGTGTTAGATGCAAGATTCAGATAGAACTATGAAAAGTTACATACATATGCAAGTCACAGATGATTTAATTGATTTATTATCATTAGTAGTAATAGTAGTAGTAGCAGCAGTAGTATTACTATATTATTATTACTATATGATATATATTATTATCACTATATGATATACATAGATAGATTATATTATTAATATTGCTAATACTGATGATGATCAAATAACAACAGAAATAAGGATTGTGAAAGGTACCTTTATATACACTGTTATTTCTGCATTCCGAAAGGCGTGGAGCATCACATACCACAGCTGGCTGACCTTCGTGCTGCTGCTGTGGGCGTGTGTGCTGTGGATGATCCCCAACCAGCGGGCGGCGATGCTGAGGTGCTCGCCCTTCCTCGTCGTGTATGCTGAGGTGAGGCCGAAGGTTTCAGTTTTTTTTTTTTTTTTTTTAGTTTAGGTATACGGGCGTGCGTGGTCTCTTTCAATTCCTTCTTGGGAGGAAAAACAAACCCACAGATATATATATATATATATATATATATATATATATATATATATATATATATATATATATATATACATATACAAACATAAGTATATCTATGTATATATATTGGAGGTATCCTTTGTGTCGTATTAGCCTTCCCAGTACCTTAACAATTACTCATCAATCACCTGTTTATCCTGAGAACATGCCAGCACTTCTCCGAGTGCGTCCTAACCACGCCTTTATCGCGACTTACGTCTAACCCACAATTATTGCCTCTTTGCAGCTGCTGTTGCTCCTGCAGTACATCTATTGCATGGACCTCACGGACTCCGAGCTTCCGAGTGAGATGGAGACCGTGAACCTCAGTCAGATCGGACTCGTCAAGGTCCCTTACCTGGCCTGCAAGCCTCTCCTGGTCAAGGTGAGACGGGTTGAGGGGCGTTTAGCTGTTGGTCTGTTTGTTTGTTTTCTCTCTGTTTGTGTGCGTGTGTGTCTGTCTCTCTCTCTCTCCTCTCTCTCTCTCTCCTCTCTCTCTCCTCTCTCTCTCTCTCTCTCTCTCTCTCTCTCATATATATATATATATATATATATATATATATATATATATATATATATATATATATTTATATATTTATATATATATATATATATATATATATATATATATATATTTATATATATATATATATATTTATATATATATGTATATATATATATTTTATTTATTTTATATATATTATATTATATATATATATATAATATATTTATATTTATATAAAATATTGCTTTTCTCTCATAATTCCCATTTTTATCCAACCCACAGAAACTCAAATGCAAACCTAACCAATGCACACTACTATTAATATTACTTCATGATATATACATAATTCCTTTTAACCCCACAACCCCCCACTTTTCAACCCATACACACACCCCAAAAAAAAAAAAAAAAATACAAAACGACCCACGACCTCCCCTCTCCAAAAACTCACCCATGACCCATCGCTCCCCTTTAGGTCCTGTACACTTGCATGTTTTGGATCACCCTTCGCCAATATGTCCAAGAGGTCATCGAGTCCACGAAGAGGGAGATGTCGACGGCCGCGGCGCTGCAACCCTTCACCGTGGCTGTTAGTACGACCAACACGGGGCAGCCGGTAACTACTCTCATCACGTCGTCACAGGGTAAGTGGGGTTGCTGTGTTGGTAGGCCTATGCGTGTGTGGTTAGTGGGTGAGTGAGTGTAAGGTTTGAGTGTTGTTGTTGTTGTTTTTGCTTGTTTTTTTCTTTGATTTTTGTCTGAGGTTATTAGTTGTGTTAGGTACGGTTAGTAGGGAAAGAAAATTATAAATGTATATATTATGTGTTAGTAAATACTGTGATAACGATAGTAATGAAAATGATACTTAAGTTGATAATGATCTAAATGGTAATGGTACTTACGTTGATAATGATGTAATAATAATGATAGCAATGGTGATGATGATGATAACAATAATAGCAATACAAATAATGATACTGATGTTGAGATGATAATGACAATAATATCAATTATTATGATAAAAAAAAGATCATGATAACGATAAAGATGATAGTACAACAGAATGAGCTAATAGTGATTATATACCAACATCAAAATCAGAATCACAATAACCACCACAAAACAACAACATTAAAAACAATAATAATAACAATCCTCGTTTTCCCCTCCCCCCAACCTCCCCACCCCCTCCCCCCAACCTCCCCATCCCCTCCCTCCAACCTCCCCATCCCCTCCCCCCAACCTCCCAACCTCCCCCCCAACCTCCCCCCCCCCCCGGACGCCGTTGCCATGAAACCTCCTCCAGACGAGCCAACGACCTCCCCCGTGATGGAGCGTCTCGGCCAGTGGCTCCGGGGCCTCCTGGTCAAGTTCTGGATCTGGGTCGTGGCCATCATGCTCTTCGTCTTCGGGATCCAGGGCTCGCAGGTCGTCATCTTCAGGATCATGTACATGGTGCTGTTCCTCATCTTCACGATCACGTTCCAGGTGAGGGGGGGAAAGAGAGAGAGAGAGAGAGAGAGAGAAGAGAGAGAGAGAGAGAGAGAGAGAGAGAGAGAGAGAGAGAGAAGAGAGAGAGAGAGAGAGAGAGAGAGAGAAGGGGAGGGGAAAGGGTGGGGGTGGGGGGTCCTGTCTTTTGGGGAGATTGGGTAAGATGGATTTTTTATCATTCTTTTTATATATTTTATTATTATCTATTTATATATATTTTTTTACCTCAGTCAATGTTATGTTTTTGGAGGCGTTGGTCAGTTAGTTTATTCGATGGCGAGCCGGATAACTCAAAAAGTTACGAATAGAATTTTATGAAACTTTTACCAGAGGTCTGTCTTAGCCCAACTTAGATGCCATTATTTTTTACTGGTTATCCGGACCGTGATCCGGATTCAGGAAGCTTTTAAAGGATTCATTAGCATTGCGAGATAGGGAAACACGGACACTACCAGTGGACTTGAGCAAGAGGTGATTTTAATGTGATTCTTCAAGTATTTTTATGGCATCAGTGGCCCTATTGCCTTGGCGGAGGTATGCGCTCTCTAAGTGGTTCTAGTTTGTTTTGTTTTTGTTTGTTATATTTGGGGAGTTCTTTTTCTTTGTTTGATTATTTTTTTGAAGGGGAGGGAGAGGTTTTCGTTTATTTCTTTATACATTTGATGATTTTGGGGTATATTGTAGGTAGATTTGATTTTGCTCTATACGAGTATACTAAACCATTTTATTGTTCCATGCATTTTTCTTTACATGATAACAATTACCTACAAGAAATTTATAAATGAAAGAAATAAAAAATGAACAAAATATCATATTAAATCACGTCTTTGATATTGAAAATATGAATCAAGCTTTAAAAAAAAAACATATACCACACCAACATTTCTACCCAAAGATAAAAACAATGCATAGATAAATAGATAAATAAGATAATAGAAACGGGAGCCACTCCACTACCCACAACCACCCACCAACCAACGCAACTTGCAACCATTGCAACTCGTCCCTTGCAGCTCTCGTACTCAGCCTGGCGCAACTTCCTCTACGGATTCTGGCTGACGGTGATCATATACCAGATGTTCGTCTTGGTGCTCACCTACACGTACCAGTTCGACAACTTCCCGACCTACTGGGAGAACTACACCGGCATCCCCAAACAGCTGCAGAATGACATGGGGTTGGAGGTAAGTTGGGGGAGGGAGGAGGGCCGGGTAGGGGAGGAGGGTGGGGATAGATTGAGTGAGTGAGTGAGATATAGATATATAGACAGACAGACAGACAATGGCAGACAGATAATGACAGACAGACAGACAGACAGATAGGCAGAGAGACAGAGAGACAGACAGACAGACAGACAGGCAGACAGGCAGAATGACAGATATACAACACAGACAGAATGACAGATTGACAAAAACAGACAGATTGACAGATAGAGAGAGGGAGATAGAGTGAGTGAGTGAGTAAGTGAGAGAGAGACAGACAGACAGAGAGACAGAGAGACAGAGAGACAGAGAGACAGACAGACAGACAGACAGACAGACACAGACAGACAGACAGACAGAGACAGATAAAGAAAGAAAGAAACAAATAAACAGTCATACCCATAAGTTCATATAACATAAGCACCCCCCAAAAAAAAAAAAAAAAATCCCCCCCACCTAGAAAAAAAAATTATCACTAACAGAATAATAATCCACCTTTTCCCTCTTCTTCTCCTCCCAGGTGTACGACACAGGCCGTCTGTTCATCAAACTCATGACACCCACTTTCTTCGTCATCGTCACCATCATCCAAGTGCATTATTTCCACAAAGATTTCCTCGCCCTTTCGGATATTGAAAAGATGTGAGTAGGTTTTTAGTGTTTTTTTAGTTTGTTCAGTTTAATTTTTGAGGCGGTGGGATTATATATATATATTTTTTTGAGATTGGATGGATGTTTTTCATCTCTTTTGTGTAGATGGATGATGCCATAGGATATTTTATATATTATTTTCCCTTTCATGAATGGTATTAACTACAAGTACTGTATATAAAGAAAATATTCATAACCTAATAAAGATTAGGTGGATTTTATTTTTATCTCTTTTGTGTAGATGAATTATACTTTAGGATATTGTATATATACATATTTTTCCTTTTGTGAATGGTATTAATTTCAAGTACTGTATATAAAGAAAATATTTATAACCTAAGAAAATCAAATATTTTACATACTCCAATAATTTAATCGAAGTCAAAGTAGATAGAATAAATCTAATCGTAAAAAAACTGCAAAGGATACCAGACACCTAATCCTTTCTTTCTAATAAGGACACCAGTCTATATCCCTGATCGCAAAACATTCCACTAAGGATACCAACCTCCTAATCCTTTTTTAACCTAATCTCAAAACAAACCTACAAAAAATTCACCTCAAGTTAAAATCCTCGGTAGTTTACCAATCACAACCCATCACCCAATCCTTCCTTACATAACCACGCCCATTGGGAACGCCCCTTTTCCAGCCCCGACCAACCCGCGCCGAAGGACACACAGAAGACGGACGCCAAAGTCCCCATGCCCAACCGACCTGACCTCCTGGAGTCATGCACGCTGGACGATGTCAAAGGTAAAGATGGAAAGATGATGGATGGATGGATGGATGGATAGATGGATAGATGGATGGATAGGTAGGGAGGTGGTTGGTTGGGTAGAGAGGTGGGTTGATAAGTAGATGGGTGGGTGAAGAGGGAGAGAGGTAGATAGACGAACGCTGGACGGTGTCAAAGGTAAAGAAGGGAAGAAGATGGATGGATGGATGGATGGATGGGTAGGGAGGTGGTTGGGTGGGTGGATGGGTAGAGAGGTGGGTTGATAAGTAGAGGGGTGGGTGGAGAGGTAAGGAGGTAGGTAGAGATATAGAGAGGTAGATAGACGAACGCTGGACGATGTCAAAGGTAAAGAAGGAAAGAAGATGGATAGATGGATGGATGGGTAGGGAGGTGGTTGGGTGGGTGGAGAGGTAGATAGGTGGATAAGTGGAGAGATAGAGAGGTAGGTAGATGTCAAAGGTAAAGAAGGAAAGAAGATGGATGGATGGATAGATGGATGGGTGGGTGGGTAGAGAAGTGGTTGGTAAGTAGATGGGTGGGTGGAGAGGGAGGGAGGGAGGTAGAGATATAGAGAGGTAGATAGACGAACGCTAGAAGATGTCAAAGGTGACGCATGAAACAAGATGGATAGATGGGACAGATGGATGGGTTGGTGAATGGGTGGAGAGGTAGATGGGTGGGGTCCTGGTTTCCTGCACGCTAGACGATGTCAAAGGTAAAGAGTGAAAGAAAGTGGATGGATAGATGGATGGATGGGTAGGGAGGTGGTTGGTTGGGTGGAGAGGTAGATAGGTGGATAAGTGGAGAGATAGAGAGGTAGGTAGATGTCAAAGTTAAAGAGTGAAAGATAATAGATGGATCGACGAATGGATAGATGGATAGGTGGGTAGGTAAATAGAGGGGTAAGTAGATATATAGATAGGTAGATGGGTAGATAGATGTACGCTGGACGATGTCAGAGGTAAAGAATGTAAAAGAATAGATGAATGGATGGATTGATGGGTGGGTGGATGCGAAGGTGGAGAGGTGGAAAGGTAGATGGATAGGTGGTGATGTGGAGAGGTAGATGGATGCACGCTGGACTATGTGAAAGGTAAAAATTCGCAAAAATAGTTTCATTGATTGATGGATTGGTTGAGAGGTAGATGGTTGGGTTGATAGATGCGTGGGTGGGTTGGTAGATGGATGGATGGATGTATGAATGGGTAGATGGATGGATGGATGGGTGGATGGGTAGATAGATAGGTGGGTGGATGGATGGATAGATTGATGGGTGGGTGGGTGGGTGGGTAGATAGATAGATAGGTGGGTGGATAAGTGGGTGTATGAATAGATGGATGGATGGATAGACCAAGATTTCTAGGCAGGCAGGTAGGTATATGGATGGAAATAAAAATAGATGGTTAGATTGAAGACTAACTAGTTGGATGGATGGATGGATGAATAGATAGACAAACATAAGTAGATAGATATTCATACTGATGAATTAATAAACAAATGAATAAATAATAAAAGAAAAGACCTAATAAAATCCCATCAGACAATTACACTAGAATGGAAAAGTAAAAAAAAAAATATGAGAGATTAAAAGAAAAAGAGAAAAAAAACATATATATGTTTGTGTACTCTTGCTAATGGGCAATTGCGGTCTCTTATGATTTATTGTGAGTTTTCACGAATGTAGGAATATAATTTCGTTAATTCCATACTGAGCAAAGCAACGACGAAAACAGACAAACACAGCTCTGGTCGAATACTACGGTCAGAATGAGATCAAAGTGACTTTTATCATTGTCTATTATTCGTATCATTATCTATTACATTATCTATTATCTTTATACTCATCATCATCATTACGGCCAGAAAGAGACCATAATGACTTTTCTCATTATCTATTATTCGTATCATGATCTATTATCTTTGTCCTTATCCATTATCCTTATCCTTATCTTCGTCATTATTCATTCCTCTCTTCCCCTCCGTTTTCAGTTCTGGTCGAATACCACGGCCAGAAAGAGATCGAAGTGATTTTTATCATTGTCTGTTATTCGTATCATTATCTCTTACTTTATTTATTAGCTTTATCCTTATCATCATTATTATCCATTATCTCCACCATTATCCACTCCTCCCTTCCCCTTCTCTTTCCAGCTCTGGTCGAGTACTACGACCATAAAGAGATCATAATGACTTATCATTATCTATTATCTTTATTTATCCTTATCCACTATCCTTTATCCCCATTATCCATTATCTCATCATTATCCATTTCTCCATTATCCATTTATCTTCATCATCCATTATCCACCCATTATCTTCATCATCATCCATTATCTCCACCATTATCCACTCCTCCCTTCCCCTTCTCTTTCCAGCTCTGGTCGAGTACTACGACAATAAAGAGATCATAATGACTTATCACTGTCTATTATTCGTATCATTATCCATTACATTATCCTTACCATCCCCATTATCCATTATCTTCATCATTATCCATTCCTCCCTTCCCCATCTCTTTCCAGCTCTCGTCGAGTACTACGACCATAAAGAGATCATAATGACTTATCATTATCTATTATCTTTATCCTTACCCATCATCTTTCATCCCCTATCATCCTTATCCCCATATCTATCATCATTATCCATTATCTTCATCATTATCCATTATCTCCACCATTATCCACTCCTCCCTTCCCCTTCTCTTTCCAGCTCTGGTCGAGTACTACGGCCAGAAAGAGAGATCAAAGTATTTTTTATCATTACATATTATTCGATCATGATCTTTATCCTTATCTATTATCTTCATCATCACCATTATCCATTATCTCCACCATTATCCACTCCTCCCTTCCCTCATTCTCTTTTCAGCTCTGGTCGAGTACTACGACCTAAAGAGATCATCTATTATCTTCATCAAATCCATATCTCCTTATTATTCCACTCCTCCTTCCCTTCTCTTTCCAGCTCTGGTCGAGTACTACGGGTCTGATAGGTCCTCGCCCGCATCCAGACGACCCTGGCGGACGCGATGGAGCTCGGCTGGAGGTTCCTCGAGCTCCACATCATGAAGATTGTGCTCGGCTCCGTCATGATGCTGGCGTGCTATGACGTGGGTAGATTGGGTGAAGTGTGTCTCTTTTTTTGGAGGGGCGGGGGGAGGAGGGGTGGGTGAAGGGGTTGGGGGTTGGGGAGGGGGGCATTTTGGGTGAAGATATTATTTTTTTTATTATTTCTTTTTTTTAGGGGGGGGTAGGGGGTGAGTTAGTGTGTTGGGTTGTTGTTTTGTTGTTGGTGGTAGATTGGGGTGAAGTGTCTTTTTTTTGGGGGTGGGATGAGGGGGAGGGTAGGGTGGGTGGGGTGGGGAGGGGGTGAGTTAGTGTGTTGGGATTGTTTGGTTTTTGTTTGTTGTGTAATTTTTTTTTTTTTTTTTTTTGGGGGGTGAGTTAGTGTGTTGGGATTGTTTGTTTTTGTTTGTTGTGGTGGAGGTAGATTGGGTGAAGATTTTTTTTTTGGGGGGGGAGAGGGGGGGGGTGGGGTGAGTTAGTGTGTGGGGTTGTTTGTTGTTTGTTGTGGTGGAGGTAGATTGGGTGAAGTGTCTTTTTTTGGGGGGGTGGGATGAGGGGGAGGGTAGGGGGTGGGTGGGTGGGAGGGGGTGAGTTAGTGTGTTGGGATTGTTTTGGTTTTTGTTTGTTGTGGTGTAAGTAGATTGAGTGAATCTTTTTTTCTGTGTCAGTACGTTGGGACTGCTGTGTTTGCCTTGCTATGATGTGAGTAGATTGGGTGAAATGTTTTTTTTTTTTTTTGGGGGGGGGATGAGTTAGTGTATTGGGATTGTTTGTTGTTTGGCTTGCTGTGGTGTAAGTAGATTGGGTGAAGTTTTTTTTTTTTGGGGGGGGGTTAGTGTGTTGGGATTGTTTGTTGTTTGTTTTGCTGTGGTGTAGGTAGATTGGGTGAAGTATTTTTTTTTTTTTGATGAGTCAGTATGTTGGGATTGCTTGTTGTTTGTTAGCTGTGGTGTAAGTAGTTTGGGTGATTTTTTTTTTGGCTGAGTCAGTATGTTGGGATTGTTTGTTGTTTGTTTGCTGTGTGGGAGTTTTTAAGTATGTTATTAGTGCATGTTGTGTGGTGTTTGTTTGTGTTTTTGTCTTTGAGTTAGTGTGTTAGTAGTTTGTGCTGTTCTTTGCTTGTGTGCTTGCTATGATGGGGAAGTGTTTTTTTCTGTGTCATTATGTTAGTAGTTTGTCTTGAGTGGGACAGTTTGTCTTTTTGTCTTTGAGTTAGTATGTTAGTAGTTTGTATTGTGTGGGAAAGTGTTTTTTTCTCTTAGTATGTTAGTAGTTTGTGTTGTTGGGTTTGTTTGTTGTGATGTCAGTAATTTGGGAAGTGTTTTTTTTTTCTGAGTCAGTTTGTTAGTAGTTTGTATTGTGGGGGGAAGTTTGTCTTTTTGTCTTTGAGTTAGTATTTTAGTAGTTTTTGTTGCGTGGGAAAGTTTGTTATGTTAGTAGTTTGGGAGATTTTTATCTGAAGTTGTATGTTAGTAGTTTTTGTTGGTATCTTGTCCTGTGTTCCATATGTATATACATATATATGTACATATATAGATATATATCTAAATATCTACATCTGTTTATCATTTAGTCAGCCAATCAGACAGCGAACCAGTCTATCTTTCAGTTTATCAGCCAATCAATATATCTTTCAATTTATCAATCTATCTATCTTTCAATTTATCAATCAATCTATCTTTCAATTTATCAATCAATATTCCAGTCAATCAGTCTATCTTTCAGTTTATGAATCAATCTTAATATACAACCTCCTTTACAACAACCAGAATTCACATGACCCATACCCACGTGGAAGGGTAAGAATGAGAACGAATATCTTCACAATACAAGAGATGTATCTGGCCGGTTTCGAATATATCTTCGTCAGAAATCGTGTATTTCTGACCGGTCAAATACACCTCTTGTATTGTGAAGATATTCGTTCTCATTCTTACCTTTCCACATTTGTCAACATGAATACGATTCTCCCATATTCATGTTTACCAACCCCCCACAATCTCCCTCAACAGGTGTGCGCTCTCCACTGGGCCTTCGCGGTGTTGGCAACAGTGGCGGTGCCCTGTCCGGAGAGGATCCAAACCTACATCTGCAGGACGTGTGTGGCCCTCTCCTCCCTCCTCCTCATCGTCAGGATGATCTATCAGATCAATTATATCGATCCTGAAGGGTGGGCGGCGAACTGCACGGTTAGTAGGGAGGTGGTGTTGGTTGGTGGGGGTGATGGTGATGATGGTGATGATGATGAGGATGGTGGTGATGATGAGGATGGTGGTGATGATGATGATGATGATGATGGTGATGATGAGGATGAGGATGATGAGGAGGATACGACGATAGTTGATGATAGCGATAATGATGGTTATTTTTATCATCATTATTATTATTATCATTATTATTGTTATCATTACCATTATCATTATTATTGATAATAATACTAATAGTATTATTATTAATATTATCATTATTATCTTTGATATCATTATTGTTGTTATTTTAGTTACTAGCAATATTCTTTTATTATTTGTATCCCACCTTAATTAACCTCTAACTATCCCACCTTAATTAACTTCCAACTACCACTCCTTAACTTCTAACTATCCTATCTTCATTAACTTCTATCCCACCTTAATTAACCTATAACTATCCCGACTTCGTTAACCTCTATCTATCGCACCGTAATTAACTATCTTACATGTTAATTAACATATTATATTAATTAACACTCTAACTATCCCCCCTTAATTAACTCCCAACTATCCCACCTTAATTAACCTCCAACTATCCCATCTTCATATAACCTCTACCTCGTGCCTCTCCGCAGGACTACGAGAACTCGACGTGGCCCAAGGCGAACGAGACCGCCAACAACGCCGTCTGGCTCGGGCTCTCCAAGGTGCCCAGCTTGCCCAAGTACCTCAAGGGATATATTGGTAAGTGTGGGGCTGTTGGAGGGGAGTGGGTGGGGGTAGGGGTGGATGGGTGGGTAGGTGTGGGTGGATGGGTGTGGATGGATGGGTCTGGTTGGGGGTGGGTAGGTGTGGTGGATGGATGGGGGTGGGTGTGCGTATGTTTACACGCATACGTGTTGAGAGAGAGAGAGACAGAGACAGACACAGACACACAGACAGATACAAAGAAAGACAGTGAGAAAAAGTGTGTTTGCTATGCATGTATGCAAGGAGAATGTACTATCGAAAAATAACTGGCATATTTTGCATTGTGGAATCATTCCTTCGCATTCATTTTACGACTGAAAGAGAATGAATAATTCCACAATATTTACCTAATTCAAATGAAATATGGACACATTAATTACATACTTCCCATGGTGGAAATATTTACCCTGATTACTGTAATTCCTTTGAAATTAAAATACCAAGCCTTGCCATACATACCATTATACAAACCATTCATTCCTATTCCCAAACTATCTTTGAAACGAACGAATGCGAACGAAAACATCCCACAAATACCGTAAAAAAACGAATTAAACCCCCTTCTATTATTACGTTATCACTCATACCTTTTCAACATGGTATCCCCCCCCTCCCTCCCGTCCCTCCTCCCTATACCTTCTATTATTACGTTACAACTCATACCCTTTTCAACATGGTATCCTCCCTCCTCCCTCCCGTCCCCCCCCCTTACCGTCTATTATTACGTTATCACTCATACCTTTTTCAACATGGTATCTTCCCCCCCTCCCCTCCCTCCCCCCCTACCTTATATTAATACGCCATCACTCATACCTTTTTCAACATGTATCCCCCCCTCCCTCCCGTCCCTCCCTCCCCCCCTACCTTATACTAATACGCCATCACTCATACCTTTTTCAATATGGTATCCCCCTCCCCTCCCTCCCATCCTACCGTCTATTATTACCTTTTTCAACATGGTATCCTCCCCCCTCCCTCCCGTCCCTCCCCCCCCTACCTTCTATTATTACGACATCACTCATACCTTTTTCAACATGGTATCCTCCCCCTCCCTCCCGTTCCCTCCCTCCCATCCTACCTCTATTATTACGCTATGAATCATACCTTTTTCAATGTGGTATCTCCCCCCCTCCCTCCGTCCCTCCCTCCCCCCCTACCATCTATTATTAAGTTATCACTCATACCTTCTGAATATGGTATCCTCCCCCTCCTCCCGTCCCTTCCCCCCCTACCTTCTATTATTACGTCATCACTCATACCTTTTTCAACATGGTATCCTCCCCCTCCCTCCCGTTCCTCCCCCCATACCTTCTATTATTACGTTATCACTCATACCTTTTTCAACATGGTATCCAGCCCCCTCCCTCCCATTCCTCCTCCCATCCTACCTTCTATTAATACGCTATTACTCATACCTTTTTCAACATGGTATCCTCCCCCCTCCTCCCATTTCTCCTCCCATCCTACCGTCTATTATTACGTTATCACTCATACCTTTTTCAACATGGTATCCTTTTCCCTTCCCTTCCGTCCCTCCCCCCACCCCTACCTTCTATTATTACGCTATTAATCATACCTTTTTCAATATGGTAACCTCCCTCCCTCCCGTCCCTTCCCCCCCCCTACCTTCTATTATTATGTTATCACTCATACCTTTTTCAACATGGTATGCTCCCCCCCCCTAACTCCCGTCCCTCCTCCCCCCTACCTTATAATAATACGCTATTAATCATACCTTTTTCAACATGGTATCCCCCCTCCCTCCCGTCCTTCACCCCCCCCCTCCCGTCTATTATTATCTGTTTCAACATGGTATCTTCCCCCCCTCCCTCCCGTCCCTCCCTCCCATCCTACCATTATTTTACCTTTTTCAACATGGTATCTTCCCCCCCTCCCACCCCACCCATATAGGTATCATCGTCGTCATCACAGTCCAGGCAGTGGTGCGCATCAGGCAGCAGTACCAACGGCAGCTGACAGGGTTGCCGCCGCCACCCCCTGGCGTCTTGTTCCCCAACGTGACGCGGGCGGTGGCTGACGATGGCATCCCCGAGTGCGCTAAGTTCCTGCTAAATTATGGGTTTTATAAGTTCGGCGTTGAGGTGAGTCACGTTTTTGTTGTTGTTGTTGTATTTTGGTGTTGTTTGTTTGTTTTGTTATTGTTTTGGTATTGGAGTATTCTTATTATCATTATCTTGATTATTGTTGTTGTTGTTATTGTTATTGTTATTGTTATTATTATTATTATTATTATTATTATTATTATTATTATTATTATTATTATTATTATTATTTATTATTATTATTATTATTATTGTTATTGTTATTATTATTATTGTTGTTGTTGTTATCATTATTAATGTTATTATTCTAACTAACATTATTACTTTCATTATCTTTTTATATTGTTATTATTATTATTATCGTCATTATTGTTATTGTTGTCATTATCACTCTGAATATTATTGGTTTCCTATTGTTATTATCATTATCACTATTTTCATTATCATAATCATCATCACTAGTTTTATCATCATCATCATCATCATCAACATCATCATCATTTTTGTTATTATTGCTATTGTTATCAGTATTGGCAGTAGTGTTAGTATTGACATTAGTATTAGTAGCATTATTGTTTTGGTCATTATTATCACTATTATCATTATTTTCATTATTTTCATCAGTATAGCCATAATCATCCTTATCGACATTCGTTTCCGTCCCTACTTTTTCTTCTCCTCCTCTTCCTCCCCTTCCATCCCTCCCCTCTCCCCCTCCGTATCACCTCTACCTTCACCACCACCCCCCTTCATCCCCACCCTCCACCCTCCATCTCACCACCACCCCACCAACCTCTCCTTCCTTCCCATATCCCCCACCTCCCTCTCCCATCTTCCGATCTCCCCCACCTCCTTCCACCCGACCTCACCTGACCTCTGACCCCCGCAGATATGCCTCATGAGCCTCGTCGGGGTCATTGGCACTCGCCTGGACGTGTACTCGCTCTTCTACGCCGGCTGGCTCTGCTACTTCTTCAACAGGCAGAGGAAGGACATCGCCCGAGTGTGGAAGGGCTTCGTGATCTCTATTACCGTGCTTATTCCCCTGCAGTATCTGATGTGCGTTGGCATCCCCCCCGCGCTGTGCATCGGTGAGTTTGATAATGGTGGTGATGGTGGGTGGCGGTGGTGGTGTGGTGGTGATGGTGGTGGTGGTGGTGGTGGTGATATTGTTATTTTTGTTGTTGCTAGCATTATTGGTGTTGTGTATATAGAGATAGATAGATACATAGATACATATATACATAGGTAGGTAGAGATATAGATGGAAATATAGACATATAAACAGACAGCTAGATAGCTGGATATACAGGTATAGGTATATTAAGAGAGAGAGAGGGTGGGGGGGGAGAGATAGACAGAGAGAGGAATACAGAGAGAGAGGCACACACACACACACACACACACACATACACAGACATAGAGAGAAAGAGAAAGAGACAAAGACAATGACAAATAATAGGGAAATAGGGAAATGAAATAATGTTCATACATCTCCCATCACAAAGCAGTGAGGTAACTATTTTTGTATATCGTCTGAAAACATACTTCTTATAGATTTTAGAAAATCAACAGACAAAGATTTAAAAACTAGATTATTAATATTCCGCTTAGTACCATCTACACATTTAATTTCCTTTGATATTATTTTGGTAATTCTACTTTCATCTCCGTTAGCAGTAAGTAATTATAATGACATTACATAGTAGTACATGGTATCTAAAACTTCAACGTACATTTCAGACACATACTATATGAAGATGCAAATGAAGTCAGATATTAATTTCACTTCTAATATCATTTACATTCACATTTCTATATTCTTTTTTTATTATTCTACTTTCATCTGTGTTGACAGTAAGTAGTCAGTGTTACAGTGCCTTGTTATCCCACAGTAGTATAGTGTGCTGAAGCATGCACTGTAATCTGTATTGCTTGTCAAGAAAATTTGGCAAAACCTAAAATAAAATTGGACTTTATGCAGATCTTTATCGAACATTAATTTCTAAAACGTTTCAATAAATGACGATAAATGTATTTTTAATTATTTTGAATAAGTGGAAGCCGCGGCTGTTGTATTAAGAGAATGTTCATTGAAAACAACCAACATGCTATGAGGAAGCTGCACACACACGAGCAAGTATTTTGTAGACTTTGGCAAGCTTGGAAACCTGTATTCATAGGCTTTGCTTATATGAATGAATGAGACAAAGCAACAGGAAAGAATTAATGAACACTTGTTTGCTTCACCACATACGTTTTGTTAGATTTTCTTGCAGGTGTGAATCTAGAACTAAAATAGATAAATAAATTGATAAATGACTTATTGAATAATAGTAAACGTAATGGTCATGAGACTTCATTTTGTCCCCTTTTTTAATTATGATTTTTTTCTTATCTATGAGCACAAGTTTCGCACAGATTCAACAGCATGCATTGAACATATCACTGAACAAATTGGTAAAAACATGAAAATAAGGAAATGGAAAGGAAAGGAAAATACTACAATGCTATGCTTAGATCAGGCAGTGTGAGCCATATAATCTTGTACATCTGCATTTTTGAGAGATTTTGTTGAAACTGGAGCAATGCAGAGTAGTGACGTGCAAATTGCCACTATGCTGTTCAGTTGAAGAAAATGGAACTAAATTGATTATTGAAAAACTTGATGCAACATTAAGAGTAATTATATGATCTTAAGAAATAAAACACAACACTGATAAAATTTTTATCACCGAATAGAAGTTATGCAACAATAGCAAATACATTGTAACGATATGAAAAATGAATCATACAACTTTGAGAAAATGAATAAAGAATCTTCAAAAAATAAAACACACACAAAAAACAAAGAGATAACACAATAACGATAAGAAATGATAGAAACAAATAATATAACACTCGCCATAACACAATAACAACAGAACCAACCTATGGACTTATCACGAAAGGACGCATTAACGCATTAACACCTTTTTCTCCTTCGCCTCCCAGACTAACCTTGGCACAAAGTCATGAACATTGACCTCTTCTTCCACAACCCAATTCACAATAACGACCAACCACAATCCTATTCGTAATAAAAAAGACTAAAGTATCGCCTTATCACCAAAGGACACATTAACACAGCCAGTCTTTTTTCTTTCGCTCCTCAACCTACCCATGGTACGAAATAATAGACGCTGACCTCTTCTTCCATAACACAAATCACAATAAAAAAATGACCAAAGTAATGAAAGGGCGAATTAATACAGCCTTTTTTTTCCTTCGCCCCCCAGACTATCCTTGGCACGACATAATAGAAGCTGACCTCTTCTTCCATAACACAAATCACAATAACGACCAACCACAACCCAATTCACAATAAAAAAAATGACCAAAGTATCGATTTATTCACCAAAGGACGCATTAACAACCTCTCTCCCTTCGCTCCCCAAACTACCCTTGGCACGAAATAATGGACGCTGACCTCTTCTTCCATAACACAAATCACAATAAAAAAATGACCAAAGTAATGAAAGGGCGAATTAATACAACCTTTTTTCCTTCGCTCCCCAGACTACCTCTTGGCACGAAATAATAGACGATGACCTCTTCTTCCACAACCCAATTCACAATAATAAAAAATGACCAAAAGTAATGAAAGGGCGAATTAATACACCTTTTTTCCTTCGCTCCCCAGACTACCCTTGGTTCGAAGTCATGGACGCTGACCTCTTCTTCCACAACCCAACTCACAATAAAAAAAGATGACCCAAGTAATGAAAGGGCGAATTAATACAACCCTTTTTTTCCTTCGCTCCCCAGACTACCCTTAGCACGAAATAATAGACGATGACCTCTTCTTCCACAACCCAACTCACAATAAAAAAAAGATGACCCAAGTAATGAAAGGACGAATTAATACAGCCTTTTTCCTTCGCTCCCCAGACTATCCTTAGCACGAAATAATAGACGATGACCACTTCTTCCACAACCCAACTTACAATAAAAAATAATGACCAAAGTAATGAAAGGACGAATTAATACAACCTTTTTCCTTCGCTCCCCAGACTACCTCTTGACACGAAATAATGGACGCTGACCTCTTCTTCCACAACCCAACTCACAATAATAAAAATATGACCCAAGTAATGAAAGGACGAATTAATACAGCCTTTTTCCTTCGCTCCCCAGACTATCCTTAGCACGAAATAATAGACGATGACCACTTCTTCCACAACCCAACTTACAATAAAAAATAATGACCAAAGTAATGAAAGGACGAATTAATACAACCTTTTTCCTTCGCTCCCCAGACTACCTCTTGACACGAAATAATGGACGCTGACCTCTTCTTCCACAACCCAATTCACAATAAAAAAAGATGACCCAAGTAATGAAAGGACGAATTAATACAACCTTTTTTTTCCTTCGCTCCCCAGACTACCCTTGGTTCGAAGTCATGGACCCCGAGCTGAGAGAGTGGCTTTTCTTCCCAGATTTCGTCAAGCCTCCGGAGTCTTATAAGATTGTCAGTAAGTTCAAAGTTGGTTTTTGTTGTGCGTTATGTGGAGAAAATTGTGTCTATGTTTAGGGATGGTTTTGTTGTATGTTGTTGTTTATTATAAGAAGAAAAATATGTCTTTGTTTAGGGATGGTTTTGTTGTATGTTGTGAGAAAAAAGTCTGCTGGTGGTTTTTTTTTTTTTCAGATGTGTGGTATTGTTTCTGTTTATTATGAGGAAAAACTTGTTGTCTGAGGGACTTGCGTGCTTGCATATGAAAAAATACACCATGTATTGCTATGCCGATACTATATATTATAATATAATATATATATATATATATATAATATATATATATATATATATATAATATATTATATATATTATATATACATATAAGTAGTATATATATATATAATATATTAATATATATATATATGTGTGTGTTGTTGTGTGGTGTGTGTGGTGTGTGTGTGTTGTGTGTGTTGTGTGTGTGTGTGTGTGTGTGTGTGTGTGTGCGTGTGCGTGTGCGTGTGCGTTGTGCGTGCGTGTGTGCGTGTGCGTGTGCGTGTGCGTGTGCGTGTGCGTGTGCGTGGTGCGTGGCGTGTGCGTGCGTGCGTGCGTGCGTGTGTGTGTGTGTGCGTGTGCGTTGGTGCGTGCGTGTGCGTGTGCGTGTGTCGTGTGCGTGTGCGTGTGCGTGTGCGTGTGGTGTGTGTGTGTGTGTGTGTGTGTGTGTGGTGTGGGGTGGGGGGGGGGGTGTGTATATTCAGACAATAATGTCTAAATAACTGTATTCTTATGTGTATGATTGGGAGAAAAGAATCATGTGAAAAGTGTCCTTGCATTTGATGAGAATATTTTTCTTGATAAAAAAAAATATTTTGTGTATGCCTTACTCATTTCATAGCAGTGAAAGCCATCCTAAGAGTCTATTTATCAAAGAATTTAATTATTTCCAAAAACAAATGGAAAGAAAGCAAAACAAAACAAAGAGGTCTTTCTCGCCACTTATAATCATTTTTGAGACGAAATAATAAAAATACAATATAAAAAAATCACCATTTCTACTCCAACATTCCTAATCGAAGAACGAACTCCCTCACCCCTTCTTCAAAATCCCCCCCACACTTCTCCCCCATTTTCCCCATCAGTTGATTTCGGCCGTCTGATGTCAGCAGCGCGTCGTAGAGCAGAGAAAATAAACGAAAAGAATCAGCTTTGAGTCTTAAAAAACACCGTCTTATATGTATTCAGCTTTATTCTCAATATCGACAATAGAATAATACAAAATCAAGAAAGAGACATTTTCTGAAAATCAAATTTTATTATCCATTCGCAATATTCTTCGATTACCCCCCCCCCCCCAACCCTCCTTCTAAAACTCCCCCTTCACTACCCCCCCTTCCCCTTCTACATCAGCTGATTTCTTCCTGCTGCAGTTTGCCGCGTGTCAGCAACTCGTCTTAAAAAAGAAATGGAATGTTTGTACTGAACAAAATCTTTCTTATCGATATCCAGTTTTTAAAAACAAAATACTGCAAACGAGAACGATAAATTGAACTATTATCATTATTTTAGCTAAAATTATTCGCTAAATTATAGCTTTAATCACCCTCCACCTTTCCCATCAGCTGATTCCTGCCTGCGCTGGTGTTCGCCGTGTATCAGCAGCTCGAAAAATCTTTATTATCGGTATTCAGTCTTATCAACGACAAAATACTGCGAACAAGAGCGATATATTTCATTATTATTATTATTATTATTACTATTGTTATTATCATTATTATAACTCATTCCAACATTCTCAATTGAAATATGGATTCCCTCTCCCCGCCTTTTAAAACTCCCGCACTTCCTCCCCCAACAGCTGACTTCTGCCTGCAGGTGTTCGCCGTGTGTCAGCAGCTCGAAAAAAGATCTTTATTATCGGTATTCAGTCTTATCAACAACAAAATACTGCGAAGAAGAGCGATATATTTCATTATTATTATTATTATTATTACTATTGTTATTATCATTATTATAACTCATTCCAACATTCTCAATTGAAATATGGATTCCCTCTCCCCGCCTTTTAAAACTCCCGCGCTCCCCCCCCCTCCCCCAAACAGCTGACTTCTGCCTGCTGGTGTTCGCCGTGTGTCAGCAGCTCGAAAAAAGATCTTTATTATCGGTATTCAGTCTTATCAACGACAAAATACTGCGGGCAAGAACGATATATTTCATTATTATGATGATGATGATGATGATGATTACAATTATTATTATTAATATTATCATTATTATTAGTATCATCATCATCATCATTATTATCATTATTATCATTATCATAATTGGCGAAAATCACTCGTTCCTTCCACCTCAACATTCTTCCCTCTCCTCGTCTTTTAAAACTCCCGCGCTTACCATCCCCCCCCCTCCTCCAACAGCTGACTTCTGCCTGCTGGTGTTCGCCGTGTGTCAGCAGCTCGAAAAAAGATCTTTATTATTAGTAGTATTCAGTCTTATCAACAACAAAATACTGCGAACAAGAACGATATATTTCATTATTATTATTATTACTATAATTATTATCATTATTTTCATTATCATTATCATTATTATTATTATTATTATCATTATTATCATAATTGGCAAAAATCACACGTTCCTTCCATTCCAACATTCTTGCTCGAAATATGGATTCCCTCTCCCCGCCTTTTAAAACTCCCGCGCTTCCTCCCCCCCCCTCAACAGCTGACTTCTGCCTGCTGGTGTTCGCCGTGTGCCAGCAGCGCGTCTTCGAGATCGAGTTCGGACCCGGCGCCGAGGAGTACGAGGGAGGCAGCAACAAGGAGATCGTCTATGAGGACCCCGCCACGCTCGTCAACCCTATTCCCGACTTCGTTACGTATACGAGGTAAGGAATTTGGGTGTTTTTTATAGAGGTTTTTTATTTTATTTGTTTATTTTTTTTTGGTGGGGTTGAGGTGAGGGGTAAGGAATTTGGGTGTTTTTTATAGAGGTTTTTATTTTATTTTATTTTTTTTTGGTGGGGTTGAGGTGAGGGGTAAGGAATTTGGGTGTGTTTTTTATAGAGGTTTTATTTTATTTTATTTTTTTTTGGTGGGGTTGAGGTGAGGGGTAAGGAATTTGGGTGTTTTTATAGAGGTTTTTATTTTATTTGTTTATTTTTTTGGTGGGGTTGAGGTGAGGGGTAAGGATTTGGTGTTTTTTATAGAGGTTTTTATTTATTTATTTTTTTGGTGGGTTGAGGTGAGGGGTAAAGGAATTTGGGTGTTTTTATAGAGGTTTTATTTTATTTGTTTTTTTTTTGGTGGGGTTGAGGTGAGGGGTAAGGAATTTGGGTGTTTTTATAGAGGGTTTTATTTTATTTGTTTATTTTTTTTTTGGTGGGGTTGAGGTGAGGGTAAGGAATTTGGGTGTTTTATAGAGGTTTTTATTTTATTTGTTTATTTTTTTGGTGGGGTTGAGGTGAGGGTAAGGAATTTGGGTGTTTTTATAGAGGTTTTTATTTTATTTGTTTATTTTTTTTTGGTGGGTTGAGGTGAGGGGTAAGGAAGTTTTTATAGAGGGGTATTTTTTTGGTGGGGTTGAGGTGAGGGGTAAGGAATTTGGGTGTTTTTATAGAGGGTTTTATTTTATTTGTTTATTTTTTTGGTGGGGTTGAGGTGAGGGGTAAGGAATTTGGGTGTTTTTATAGAGGTTTTTATTTTATTTGTTTATTTTTTTGTGGGGGTTGAGGTGAGGGTAAGGAATTTGGGTGTTTTTATAGAGGTTTTTATTTTATTTGTTTATTTTTTTGGTGGGTTGAGGTGAGGGGTAAGGAATTTGGGTGTTTTTTATAGAGGTTTTTATTTATTTGTTTATTTTTTTGGTGGGGTTGAGGTGAGGGGTAAGGAATTTGGGTGTTTTTATAGAGGTTTTTATTTTATTTGTTTATTTTTTTGGTGGGGTTGAGGTGAGGGTAAGGAATTTGGTGTTTTTATAGAGGTTTTAATTTTATTTGTTTATTTTTTTGGTGGGGTTGAGGTGAGGGGTAAGGAATTTGGGTGTTTTTTATAGAGGTTTTTATTTTATTTTATTTTTTTTTGGTGGGGTTGAGGTGAGGGGTAAGGATTTGGGGGTTTTTATAGAGGGTTTTTTTTATTTGTTTATTTTTTGGTGGGGTTGAGGTGAGGGGTAAGGAATTTGGGTGTTTTATAGAGGTTTTATTTTATTTGTTTATTTTTTTGGTGGGGTTGAGGTGAGGGGTAAGGAATTTGGGTGTTTTTATAGAGGTTTTATTTTATTTGTTTATTTTTTTGGTGGGGTTGAGGTGAGGGGTAAGGAATTTGGGTGTTTTTATAGAGGTTTTTATTTTATTTGTTTTTTTTTTGGTGGGGGTTGAGGTGAGGGGTAAGGAATTTGGGTGTTTTTATAGAGGTTTTTATTTTATTTGTTTATTTTTTGGTGGGGTTGAGGTGAGGGGTGAATTTGGGTGAGGGTTTTATTTTATTTGTTTATTTTTTTGGTGGGGTTGAGGTGAGGGGTAAGGAATTTGGGTGTTTTTATAGAGGGTTTTATTTTATTTGTTTATTTTTTGGTGGGGTTGAGGTGAGGGTAAGGAATTTGGGTGTTTTTATAGAGGTTTTTATTTTATTTGTTTATTTTTTTGGTGGGGTTGAGGTGAGGGGTAAGGAATTTGGGTGTTTTTATAGAGGGTTTTATTTTATTATTTTTTTTTTGGTGGGGTTGAGGTGAGGGGTAAGGAATTTGGGTGTTTTTATAGAGGTTTTATTTTATTTGTTTATTTTTGTGGGGTTGAGGTGGAGGGTAAGGAATTTGGGTTTTTATAGAGGGTTTTATTTTATTGTTTATTTTTTTGGTGGGGTGAGGTGAGGGGTAAGGAATTTGGGTGTTTTTATAGAGGGTTTTTATTTTATTTGTTTATTTTTTTTTGGTGGGGTTGGTGTTTTTATAGAGGTTTTATTTTAATTTTATTTTTTTGGTGGGGTTGAGGTGAGGGGTAAGGAATTTGGGGTGTTTTTATATAGAGGTTTTATTTTATTTGTTTTTTTTTTGGTGGGGTTGAGGTGAGGGGTAAGGAATTTGGGTGTTTTTATAGAGGTTTTTATTTTATTTGTTTATTTTTTGGTGGGGGTTGAGGTGAGGGGTAAGGAATTTGGGTGTTTTTATAGAGGTTTTTATTTTATTTGTTTATTTTTTTGGTGGGGTTGAGTGAGGTAAGGAATTTGGGTGTTTTTATAGAGGTTTTTTTTATTTGTTTATTTTTTTGGTGGGGTTGAGGTGAGGGGTAAGGAATTTGGGTGTTTTTTATAGAGGGTTTTATTTTATTTGTTTATTTTTTTTTGTGGGGTGAGGTGAGGGGTAAGGAATTTGGGTGTTTTTATAGAGGTTTTTATTTTATTTGTTTATTTTTTTGGTGGGTTGAGGTGAGGGGTAAGGAATTTGGGTGTTTTTTATAGAGGGTTTTTATTTTATTTGTTATTTTTTTTTGGTGGGGTTGAGGTGAGGGGTAAGGAATTTGGGTGTTTTTATAGAGGTTTTATTTTATGTTTTTTTTTTGGTGGGGTTGAGGTGAGGGGTAAGGAATTTGGGTGTGTTTTATAGAGGGTTTTATTTTATTTGTATTTATTTTTTTTGGTGGGGTTGAGGTGAGGGGTAAGGAATTTGGGTTTTTTATAAGAGGTTTTATTTATTTGTTATTTTTTTGGTGGGGTTGAGGTGGGGTAAGGAATTTGGGTGTTTTATAGAGGGTTTTATTTATTTTATTTTTTGGTGGGGTTGAGGTGAGGGTAAGGAAATTTGGGTGTTTTTATAGAGGTTTTTTATTTTTTTTTTTTTTGGTGGGGTTGAGGTGAGGGGGGAATTTGGGTGTTTTTATAGAGGGTTTTATTTTATTTGTTTTTTTTTTTGGTGGGGTTGAGTGTAAGGGGTAAGGAATTTGGGTGTTTTTATAGAGGTTTTTTTTTATTGTTTATTTTTTTTTGGTGGGGTTGAGGTGAGGGTAAGGAATTTGGGTGGTTTTATAGAGGGTTTTTATTTTATTTTTTATTTTTTTTTGGTTGGGGTTGAGGTGAGGGGTAAGGAATTTGGGTGTTTTTTATAGAGGTTTTTTTTTATTGGTTTATTTTTTGTGGTGGAGTTGAGGTGAGGGGTAAGGAATTTGGGTGGAGGTTTTTTATTTTATTTGTTTTTATAGAGGTTTTTTTTGGGTTTTTTATAGAGGTTTTTTGTTTATTTATTTTTTTTTGTGTGGGGGTTGAGGTGAGGGTAAGGAATTGGTGTTTTTTTATAGAGGTTTTTTTTATTTTATTTGTTTATTTTTTTGTGGTGGGTGAAGGTGAGGGGTAAGGAATTTGGGTGTTTTATAGAGGTTTTTATTTTATTTGTTTTTTTTATTTTTTGGTGGGTTGAGGTGAGGGGTAAGGAATTTGGGTGTTTTTATAGAGGGTTTTATTTTATTTGTTTATTTTTTGGTGGGTAAGGAATTTGGGTGTTTTTATAGAGGTTTTTATTTTTTTGTTTTTTTTTGGTGTCCAGGGGGTAAGGGAATTTTAATGATAAGGGTTTATAGAGGGTTTTATTTTATTTGTTATTTTTTGTGGTGGGGTTGAGTGGGGTAAGAATTTGGGTTGTTTTTATAGAGGTTTTTTATATTTGTTTATTTTTTTTGGTGGGGTTGAGGTGAGGGGTAAGGAATTTGGGTGTTTTTATAGAGGGTTTTTATTTTATTTATTTTTTTGGTGGGTTTTGAGGGGTAAGGAATTTGGGTTGTTTTTATAGAGGGTTTTATTTATTTGTTTATTTCTTTTGGTGGGGTTAGGTGAGGGTAAGGAATTTGGGTGTTTTTATAGAGGTTTTTATTTTATTTGTTTATTTTTTTTTGGTGGGGTTGAGGTGAGGGGTAAGGAATTTGGGTGTTTTTATAGAGGTTTTTATTTTATTTGTTTATTTTTTTGGTGGGGTTGAGGTGAGGGGTAAGGAATTTGGTGTTTTATAGAGGTTTTATTTTATTTGTTATTTTTTTTTGGTGGGTTGAGGTGAGGGGTAAGAATTTGGGGTAGAGTTTTTTATTTGGTGGGGTTGAGGGGTAAGGAATTTGGGTGTTTTAAGGTTTTATTTATTTTTATTTTTTTTGGTGGGGTTGAGGTGAGGGGTAAGGAATTTGGTGTTTTTATAGAGGTTTTTATTTTATTTGTTTATTTTTTTTGGTTGGGGTTGAGGTGAGGTAAGGAATTTGGGTGTTTTTTATAGAGGTTTTTATTTTATTTTTTATTTTTTTTTTGGTGGGGTTGAGGTGAGGGTAAGGAAGGGGTTTTTATAGAGGTTTTTATTTTATTTGTTTATTTTTTTGGTGGGTTGAGGTGAGGGGTAAGGAATTTGGGTGTTTTATAGAGGTTTTTATTTTATTTGTTTATTTTTTTGTGGGGTTGAGGTGAGGGGTAAGGAATTTGGGTGTTTTTATATAGAGGTTTTTATTTTTTTATTTTTTTTGGTGGGGTGAGGTGAGGGTAAGGAATTTGGGTGTTTTTATAGAGGGTTTTATTTTATTTATTTTTTTTGGTGGGGTTGAGGTGAGGGGTAAGGAATTTGGTGTTTTTTTATAGAGGTTTTTATTTTATTTGTTTATTTTTTTTGGTGGGTTGAGGTGAGGGGTAAGGAATTTGGGTGTTTTTATAGAGGTTTTTATTTTATTTGTTTATTTTTTTTTTGGGTTGAGGTGTGGGGGGTAAGGAAGTATAGAGGTTTTTAT